GAGGACCTGAACAAGCAGCACCTGATAAATATTCAGATTTGCATGCTAATGAATGGTGCGAATCCGCAAGGTTTTGCGTTAAGTTTTGAATTTATTCCATTGCATCAACAATCAGATCATATGGAGACAAATGTATACAGACATGCGAAGCTCATATGCTATAAGCTATTCTCTATAAATTATAGTTATTTTGCTTAATTTTGTATAAATTTAAATGTTAAATTCAAGAACTTAAATTTGTATAATAATTACAGAGAAAATTTCTCTCTTAGCATTTTTAAAGTCGAAAGAAAAACGAAAATTTCTTTTAGTTAGTTTTTCAATTTTGGCGAAAACTTAGTTGTTGCCTCGTCTCTTATTCCGTAACTGGAACCATTTTGGCGACGATTGCGTTAATTTACTCCCATCACGTAGACATTTAACATAAATCAGCCTTTGCGCTGCCAGCGAAATGACGTCAGTTGCTTTGGGGCTTAACTTTGTTCAACTTTCGTATATGCTTGAAATAAAGTTTGGGAACTGCCGGTGCAAATTGCAGAGCGATTACCATGGCAGAATAGACTTGGCATTTGTCTCTTAGATTATTTTTGCACATCAGTTTTAAGTCGACTTTAAAAGCGCAGCGACTTCAATTGGCTTATATCTCAAGGAGCTGCAGAGCTAGTTGGGACTGTAAAGGCAAATTTGTTTAAATATTCTGTTCACTTCAAGGCTGCAATCAATGCAAGGAAATATCTACGCTCGATTAGCAGCGTATTTAATTGAATCTTCTGTGAATAGCGACAAAAGGAAAATCGAATAGAAAAATCTACAAAAATGGAGCAAGGCAATCCGAACAAAGAGCGGAATTTAATTAGAGGATAATTGAATAGCGAATCAACGAGTCAAATGAATTAATCATTGTCCATTTAATCAGCCGAGCCACATCTTAATTGAAGGCCATTGAAGGAATTCAAGCATCATGCTGGTGCACCTTTGAGAAATGAATGTGCACATCTTAAGGCTCTCCTTTTCGCTTTTCTTTTTGCTGCCAGCTGTAATGAAAACATAACAGAAGCAGAAACTATTCGCATGGAAATGGAAAACGCTGGCAACTGATTGATGTTCGATTGATTATTTTGCATTGCTTCGCTGGCATTTCTGGTTCGATTAACACATGAATGAATATGTAATACAAAACAGATTTAATTTGGTGATGTTTTCAAAGCAGACCATAATGAAAGCTGTAATAAAAATGTGTTCTTATCGCATTAGTAGTCGACAAAGGCTTTACGCATGCCTAGGCGAATAATGTACACGCGGTTGATCGGTTGATCGCGAACTCTGCATGGCCGTTTACAGTATCCATTGTTTCTCTTTATCCACTGACAAATCAAAGCGATCCTGTCCGAATGGCGTAAATATCTATCTCGCTCGCGCACAGCAACATTCAAGACTACGTTCAGCGACACATACCTTTGTCTCTTTCTCTCACATGCAGCTAAGCGCACATTCACTCGGATAACAATTATACAACAGCAACATGCATGCGTTCAGCTTCACACTAATACTATTGCAGTAGTAGCAGCCAATCACGATAAATTAAGCAGAATTAGAAGACTTGGAAGAAACTAACAGAGTGTTAAGTTTGCCGAGACAACAGAGGAATGTTATTTTATATAAAAAGCTGCCCTATTTTTCTCACACACACATACATACATATAATTCTATTATAACTTACGTATACTCTTATTTATCAAAAATGTTCTCAATGGCGGACAATACTTGAGGAATGCCTTAATACAAAATATTTATGGAGTTGGTAATAAATAATGTGAAATATTTAAATAACCATGGCGATAGACAGTGCAACAATGGCAGAGCTTAACGCAGTCCTACTAACGAGCCGCAGTGCCGGCTTTCAATTGCGAACGAACGGTCAAAAAGAGGCTGCACGGCAATTAATTTGTTTACACTCGAAATAGACATATGAAAAACGGTTTCATTTGTGGCGTACAAAAGCTTCTCATGTGCATTGTTCTTTGAGTGCCGAACTTAATCAGAATGTTCTTCTCACGACTCTTGCGTGAATTTTAATTAAAAGCACAAAAAATTCTGATAAATATTGTGGAGCAGGATGTATGAAAAATGGGTTTTCGTATGTTAATAAAGATTTTTGCATAAAAATTATTTACTTTGTCTATGGTATGCAAACTCTTAAACAAAATTTGTGTGACTTGCAAAATTTGTACTGAACATTTTACATATTGACGAATTTTATATCGTAAAAAAACCTTTTTAAGACATATTTTTAATTGCTGCTTAATTGCACTTATTATCCTTCAATATTTAACTGCTTCAGGGACTCTTTTCCATTAATTGCCCATTGAGCGAGCAAGTCGCAGCCGCCTCTCATTGATGAAAATCTGTAGTCTTATTGCTTTTGCCTGTTCGGCATCGAACTCAATCCATTATAGCTGACTGACTACATTAAAATGCATGACGCATCAAGTATCGAACGAGTATTATCGCCGTGCATCGATTTAAGCAGAACTTATCAGCTGTTCAACAAACTGCAGTGCAGGCGCTGCCCGGCGTGATGATACCCATTGACAGCTGCAAGGGGAACCGCTTAGCCTGCAAAGAACCAATGTGCTGACAGTTTCGTAATTGTTTATCAAGTCAACTATTTCGTCATTCATTCGCTTCGCCACTTTGGGTTGCATTCATTTGAATTCCACTCGAAATGTAGTCAAGCGTTTTACGAGTTTACCTTGCGACTGTAGCCGAGGTAAACTGGGGCTAACCAACCATAGAGCAGGTGAGGAAAGGGTGACAGGAAGCAGCTTATAATTGGCTGATTGTCAACCCCTCAGACAGTGGCAAGTGGTTCACTGGTTTGCCTTCTTCTGCTAATGTTGCGGTTAAACTTCTTTTGTGTTGTCAGCGACAAAGTTTTCGGAGCGCAAACTCAATTTAATGGCCATTTGGAGTGTACGAATTTTTTTTTTTTTTTTTTTTTTTTTTTTTTTTGACAAACGGAGAGAGAACAGAGACAGAGTTTAGTTTCGAGCTACATTCATGGTAGTATAATTGCTTTATTTATACTTTATTTAGTAATTATAATACAATTAAAGTCGATTTAAAATTATTGTAAATAATATTGAGATATTACTTAATGTCAACACAAATCACATCAAACCAGAATAAATTACTTTGAGACGATGATTTAAATGCACTCAAAGTATTTATAATATATCCAAGTCATTATGAAAAGCAGGAAGACGGTAAAAATAGCCAGGAAATGTAAATAACCGGAAATTAATAAATTTATAATTTTGTATGGCATACAAATTGAACAATGATTCAATGCTGATATAGAGAACTCTGCAATAGTTCGAGTTGTAGAGAAAGAAAAGAAGTGAAATCAAGTAAATATTTTGCTTTGAATACACAACTTCCAACTCCTATTCTCTACTTTTACTTTTGACTTTCCTTTTGTCATTTCTGTGCCATATGAAGGCAATGTCTGTCTACCTTTTGTTTTGAGCTTAGGAGGGAACTTAACTTGCTGCATGCGTGCTTCAGCTCTGCAGACACAACTTAGTAGTGTTGTGTGTTGAGAGCCCTAAACTAAGACCTAATATACGTAAACATAATAAAAAGAGACAATATTGTAACTGACCCCGAATAGTTATGCTTGAGTGGACAATAACATGTATATATTACTCTTTGAATCGTCAGAGTTTGTGCTCCTATGAAATAGTAACAATTGCCTAAAAACACATATCTCTGCTTATTTACTTGGGTACCGTTTGATTATCCGCTTATGGGCCTGCTATTTTATAGAGTTTTTTAATCATCAAATATTCTTCAATTAAAAGAGTTCAAATACTAAAATGTATAGCACCGTACGCTCAATTCTTTCTGCAGAACTATCAAAGCTTTTGAAAATATATAGAGAGCATTTTGAATAGCCAAACAAAGGCTAAAAATCGTTATGTTTTGTATCAAAATATTTGACATTTTCTTTTTTTCGGGTCCATGAATGTGGCGGGTCCGGTACGGCACGTGTTTGATATTATTCAACAGTTCTGTGGGCTCGACATTCGATTATTTATTTTTATCACGTACAATGGCGCCCAATAACCGCAGATGCCCTCCACTGGGACTTTGTGTAAACAACAAAATAGGTTGAATACATTTAAGGTTTATGAACCTGCAAATTTAAATTTGATATTGTGAAATTCGCTAGAAAATTATGCTTCCTGCTTCGCCCATTGCGTATTTTAATTTATGCAATTTATTTCCGTCTTCTCATTCAATTAGCATATTTTACACTTTAAGAAGTGAATTGATTAATAAGCTTGAATACAAATTTAATGTTGGTGTTGCCAATATTGTTTATTCGAATTTTTTGTGGCTTTCTAAAGATTTTTAACTGATTGAAAATAACAAAATTTCTTGAATTAGTTCATGAAAGATTTTCGCTATATAATTATAAATATTTCAGAAATATATTTTTATAGTTCAGTTAGTTTACTAAAAGCAGCAAAGTGAATGTATGTATTGTATTTATCTAAAACTCTAAATAACATGTCACTGTCAAAGTCTTCAGCGAATTTGCAATTCACTTTAAAATGTATGAAGAGAAGTTCATTGAGAAAATATTTATGCAACCGCATAGCATTGAGGCGAAAGTAAAGTTTTGACCGTAAACTATTTGTGGTTTCGTTTGCAGTTTACGTTCTGCTGGCATTTGTCTTAAGTTTGGATAAACTTTCATGTCGAGAAGACAGTTTTGAGTTCGTCTGTTGCTTGAAACACACTGATTCATAAGAAACAACGCACCTCGAAAAGAAAAACTGTGTAAACATCTGGTTTTCTGGACAAGACGTCTTGAAAATAAGTTTTTCAGCATCAATAAATCTCAAAGTTTTTGGCGAAAAATAAAAATCTGTTTGTGAATGGCTGAAATGTGGATATCTGGATGGATGGATGTGAATAAGGATGCGAGGTGATGAATAATTAAACATTTCTTTATTTTATATGAACTATAACAGCCAATTGCTGGTACGCTCAACTTGTCCGTTCGTTTGCTTACTGAATACTAACATAAGTTTATCGACTTAACCGATAATTGATCTCGATGCGGCTCTTCATTCGCCGATAATAATGAAAGCTACAAATTATACTAAAAAATGACAAATATGCTAAAAAATGATAAATGTGCAAAAAAATGACAAATGGTTCCTCAACATCCCGGCCCCCCCTGAAACTCCGTTTCAGAATGTGGTAGAGCTGCTATCTTCGTGATGGGTCGTATAATCTCTCCAGAAACGACCTTGAGTTTAACTGCCCGTACTAATCCATCCTCTCCTGGGTACACTTCGATTACGCGTCCTAAGTTCCATGTTGCTGGAGGCGTATGCGAATCCTTGATGAGTACAATGTCTCCAAGGGATATGTTAGGCATCTTGGTAGACCATTTGGGTCGTTGCTGCAATGCCGTTAAGTATTCCTGCTGCCAACGCTTCCAAAATCCTTGAAGCATTGCCTGAGTATGTTGCCAATATCCCAAGCGATTGGTTGGTACCTCTGCGTAGCTCCCATCTGGAACTGCAGTGTACGTCCGTCCGATCAAAAAATGTGCTGGTGACAAGAATCCAATTTCTGTGTCCGAACTTGCGCATAATGGACGGGAGTTCACGACTGCTTCTATTTGTGTAAGCAGAGTGCGCATCTGTTCAAATGTAATCACTGTATTTCCGATCACTCGTCGCAAGTGTAGCTTCACGGAACGTACAGCAGACTCCCATTTTCCACCCCAATGTGGAGTATATGGTGGAATGAAATTCCACTTGATGCTTTGCTCCGCCAACTTCCTCGCTACCACTTCATTATGCTCGCGTGAAGTATGTAGTTGTGACATCTCATTTAATGTGCGCTTAGCACCGACGAAGTTACGTCCATTGTCGCTGTACATCTCGGCAGGCTTCCCACGGCGGGCCATAAAACGTCTGAGGGCTGCCAGAAAGGTGTCTGTGCTTAGGTCAGTTGCCAATTCTAGATGAAGTGATGATGTCACCATGCATACAAAGAGACAAATGTAGCCCTTCTCCTTACGCGGGTTGCGTCCCTTGTGTACCTTTAGCAAGATAGGTCCAGCATAATCGACTCCAGTGTGTTCGAATGTAAAGGCCTGCCGCACGCGAGTGGCAGGTAAGTTAGCCATAAGCTGTTGTGTAGTATGATGACGCTGCTTGAAACAGTTTAGACATCCATGCGTGATTCGTCGGATGAGGTTTCTGGATCCAAGTATCCAGAACTTCTGACGAATTATAGCAAACATTGCCGAAACTCCAGGATGAAGGTTGAACTGATGCTCATGCTTCACTAACAGCTCAACTAGTCGATGATGGTTAGGCAGTACAATTGGGTGTTTGGCGTCTCTAGATAGGTAAGAGTTTTCTAAGCGTCCTCCAACTCGAATAAGGCCATCCTGGTCAACAAATGGAGCTAGCTTGCTCAACTTGGAACGGTGCTGCAGCGGTTGCTTCTTCAACAAGCGCTGCCGATCAACATCAAATGCGTTTTGTGCTTGCACTAGACAAAACTTTCGTGCTGCGTCAATTTCATGGAACGTCAAGGCTGCTGAATGAAGTGAGTTTCTTGATCGGACGCGATGTACAAAGCGCCGGACGTATGCGATGATTCGAATCAGTCGCAGCCATGATGATACTCTAGTAAGTAAAGCATCAAAGGGGGACGATGCCATGTCCTCCGTTACCGTCAGAATATTGGCCTTGAATTCCGCTTCTGCTGCTGGCGGCACGATAGAACAGCAGAATTTTGATCGTCGAAGCATCTCCAAATACTCCTGGGAATCATGTAGCCAGGACGGTCCCTTCCACCATAAGTCAAATTTAAGAAGGTCACCGGCGAGCATTCCTCGGGATGCACAATCTGCAGGATTTTCCTTGGTACTCACATGCCTCCAAGCGTCCCGTGGGATTGTCTCAAGTATTTCTGCCGTACGATTGGCTACGAACATCTTCAATTTACAGGGTTGATTTGACAGCCAGGACAATACGATTGTAGAATCGCACCATGCATATACCTTCACTTCCTTCTTGCCCAAACTAGCTTGAATTGCCTTAACAAGTCTAGTCAGCAGTAGAGCTCCACACAGTTCGAGGCGTGGCAGCGTTGCTAGTTTTAAAGGTGCGACGCGAGTCTTAGCAGCAACAAGATATACTCCTATAGAGCCGTCACTATACTCAACTCTGCTGTAGACGACCGCAGAGTATGCCTTAAGCGAAGCGTCTGAGAATGCATGTAACTCGATGTGATCCATGTGACTGTCTATGAAGCGAGGTATCTTGAGCTGTTGTAGCGACGAAATGTCCTTGCGATACATCTGCCAAGAGTGCGCCTGTTTCATCGGAAGTTCAGAGTCCCAATCCAAATCAAGCAACCAAAGTTCTTGCAGTAGAATCTTGAATTGGACTACCACTGGTGCCAAAATGCCCAGAGGATCAAAAATGTGTGCTACATCGGATAGCACTTGTCGCTTTGTGCAGCTTGCAGTTTCCGATAATACAATGTTGTATGCAAGGTTGTCTTCTCCAGGATCCCAATGTAGTCCTAGTACCTTTGATGTTGCTGTTGACATGTTGACTCTATCACCTTGCGCGGTGCATAGTCGTGTGCTATTTGAGATCCATTTTCCCAATTCCAGTTGCGCATGTGACATGAGTGCAACCAGCTCAGTTTGAATGTCAATAAGTTCTTCCTCTGTCATGGCTCCTGTTAATACATCGTCCACGTAGAAATCCTCAAGTAATATCTTAGCTGCTCTAGGAAACTCATTCTCGTGGTCCTTGGCAAGTTGTTCTAACACCCGGACTGCGAGGAATGGCGCAGACGCAGTCCCGTATGTAACTGTGCAGAGTCTGAAGTGTTTCAATGGTGCTGACGGATGTTCTCTCCATAATATTCGTTGAAAGTCCTGATGTTTAGATGCAACCAAAATTTGTCTAAACATCTTCACAATATCAGCCGAAAATACAAACTTGTGCATTCGAAACCTCATGCATACGTTGAAGAGATTGCGTTGTATACATGGACCAATATGAAGCGCATCGTTTAGAGACCGACCATCTTGGTCTTGAAATGAGCCATCAAATACCACACGCAGCTTTGCCCCTAGCACTGGATGGTGCGGCATGTAGAAAACCTTCTTCGAAGTGGCGTCTTCTTCTGCATCCACCTCCTTCATGTGATCCAGTTGTATGTACTCCCTCATGAATTGCACATACTTCGATCGTAAAGCTGCATCCCTCATTAAACGACGCTCAACTGCCAAGAAGCGAGACTTGGCTCCATGATAGGTGTCTGCAAACTCTGGGTTCCCTTGCTTGAATGGTAGCTCGACGATGTATCTCCCTTCGGCATTACGGGAGTGTGTTTGGACGAAATGAGTCTCCACTAACTCATCTTCTTTATTGGCAGACGTGAACGATGGAAGTTCTTCCAGTTCCCAAAACCGTTGCAACAATGTGTTGATGTCCATGGTAGCTAGGAGTGACGTAGTTGTGGTTGTACACGCTCCTGCCACTGATGTGATGATCCATCCAAATATTGAATCAATAGCAATTGTGTTCCCCTGAAGATTACACAGCTTATCTCCAGTAAGAACCGTCCAAATGTGATCGTTACCAAGCAAAATGTCGATTGAAGCGTTGGTATTAAATGCGGCGTCTGCCAGGGTGTGGCCGCTAAACATAGAGAGGTCTGCTGCATTTATAGTTTCTCTCATCAGTGTCGAAGTAATGTTTCCAAGCACGTGTGCCTTGACCACAAGAGATGCATCTGACACTCGCGACTTGATATGTAGTGAACAGAGCCCTCTTGTTGTTTCTGCCTTGATTGATGATATTCCAGATATAGAGATGCGAGAGTGTGAACGGGCCAGACCCAATGTCTGGATACACCGTTCCGAAACGTAGGACAACTCCGAGCCGCAGTCCAACAATATGCGGCAAACAACGTCTTGTCCTCGAGAATTGCGCACATACACCTGCGCCGTTGGCAGTGTACTTCTCATATTTGCACCCTTGCCACCTTTTGAAGTATTAACGGCGTTCGTCAGTGCTACTACTGTGCTAGCACCTGGTGCCTCATTTGAATCATCCTGCTGATGTTGCTGTGGGTCATCTTTGTCCTTAGTGTTACGTTGGTCGAAGTGCAAGAGTGAGTGATGTCGGCGCTTGCAATGCTTACAAGATGACTTCGATGTGCAAGCGCTCGCTCCATGGCCAAGTCTCAAACAATTAAAGCACATGTGTTTGGACTTTGCAAAGGCATATCGCTGCTGAATAGATAAATCCAAAAACTGTGTACATGCCATCAATGCGTGTTCCTTGTTGCACTTTGCACAGCGCTCTGAAGTGGCGAGTAGCGCATGTGCGTTCCTGGTACCTCTGTCCTGTCTAGGCTTGCTGCTTGTCGTAGTTGCAGATTGACTGAGCTCCAGCCGATCACAACGTGCATCCAGGAACTTGAGCAACTGCGTTATCGTAGGATTTGCTATATCTTGACTCTTTTCGTACCATTCACGACGTGTGGTGTCATCAACCTTTGCCATGAGCAAGTAAATCAGCCAACAATCCCGATCCGTTTGTCCAGAAGCGTCTAATGCCCGAATTACGGTACCAGCTTCGTTTGTTCGCGATCGAAGCGATGCTGGGTTTTGATCCGCAACCTTGGGCAGTCCAGTAAATGTATCCAGCAACACGTTTACCAAATAGCGAGGCTTCTCGTACCGATCAACTAATGAATTCCAAGCTATTTCATAGTTGGCATCGGCTAAGGGCAGATGCTGAATAAGTTTCGCAGCTTCTCCTTTTAAACAAGATTTTAAGTGATGATACTTCTGGATATTCGTCAACGTTGTCTTGCTGTGAACGGCACTGTCGAATAGACCCTTAAATGCGTGCCATTCCTTATAATCTCCATCAAATGGTGTGATATGAATCCGTGGCAGTTCCCAATCCTTCACTGATGGTCCTGCGCCTTGCTGTGAGCCTGACGGTGACTCGTTATCCACCTGCCGTGGTAGCAGTCGTTGCATTAAGGCCTCCATAGTCTCCATTTGCATCTGCTGCATTTGTTGCATTTGCATCTGAGACTGTTGCTGTAATTGTTGTATTTGTATATGAGACTGTTGCTGTATTTGTTGTAAAATGCCTTGGATGGGCGAATTATCTACTTCCCCATGTACATTAGATGTGGTATTGGCTTCTTCCAGTTTGTGGGGTTTGTACTCAGCGTGCAGTGTCTTAAGAAGAGCACACGCTCGTTCAAAGCGCTCCTCATATACATTGTTGTCACTTGCTGGATCCACATATCCCTGCACATCTTCATATTTATAAAGTTCGTCACCAAGGTTGAGAAACTGCTTCCAAGCTTGAACCAGCGTGTCCAATTTTGTATCAATATCGTAGAAGGTGCAGCCCTCAGGTGGATGCTCCGCATATCCAGAAATACGAGTAATTGTTGCCTTCAATCTACCTCTGGCTCCCAGTAAAGTCCGTAGATTTTCCATTGTAGCTTGCTGCGTTGCCAGCAGTCAATCCAAGTTGTCCAAAATAGCCAGGTATTAAATTAATGTGATGAAATTGCTGCGTCTCTAGCAGCCGAACAAACCATTAAGACAAATCACCGCACTTTTCCAATAGTGCGTACTGCGTATTACGTATGATGCCAAATATCGATACGTAATTCCAAGAATTTGCAATTGCTGCGTCTCCAGCAGCAAAAACACGACAAGACAAAACACGTCACTTTTCCAATAGTGCGTGCTGTTTATTACGTATGATGCCAAATATCGATACGTAATTTCAAGAATTTGCAATTGCTGCGTCTCCAGCAGCAAAAACAATACAAGACAAAACACGTCACTTTTCCAATAGTGCGTGCTGTTTCCAACAACTCCAAGTGAGCATTCAGTAGCAATGCCCAACGGATCCGGCTCGAAGGACCAAATTTATGATGAATAATTAAACATTTCTTTATTTCATATGAACTATAACAGCCAATTGCTGGTACGCTCAACTTGTCCGTTCGTTTGCTTACTGAATACTAACATAAGTTTATCGACTTAACCGATAATTGATCTCGATGCGGCTCTTCATTCGCCGATAATAATGAAAGCTACAAATTATACTAAAAAATGACAAATATGCTAAAAAATGATAAATGTGCAAAAAAATGACAAATGGTTCCTCAACACGAGGTATATTTATAAAAAAGTATTTGTTGGTAAATAAAAATATTGTCAAGTTGTTAGAGCCTTGCTTAAAAAATAAAAATACGTTGGTTTACTGAACGGATGAATTATAACATTTATAACATTTCCAAGGTGGCATTCAGTTCATACCCCCTAACCCCTGGGGTTAATCGCTAAAAATGGTTTACAGTAATGGCTGAGGCCTATGAAAAATTGCTGAAAAATCTATTTTTATTTATATTAATTGCTTATACGAAATATATGTATATAACTAAACTACACCCACCTTGTAGATTCCATAAATAATGCTAAAAGTTTGTGCTTTACATCTATTAAAACTGCTTAGTTCAGATATGCGGAGACCTTGTGGCTTACGGCTCGTCGAGTCAAGTCAAGTGCTGCTTGTAGTTCGAGCTGAAATAGTTCATTACGCCAATTAGAAAAGAGGCATCTCGAGAGCTCTTCGCATGCTTGTCCGTCTGCTGCGCAGTAAAGCCTTTTATATCTATTTAATCAATCAAGTGCTTAAGACAAGTTGCCCAAGGGCTGAAAGCTTGTTAATATCTGACTTCGCTGGGTCTGCGCTTATAGAAATGTTTGTGATTTAGCAAGGATTAGCTCTTCTTAATAATTGCTGAGACACTTTAAAGGCCAATTCATTTTGTGCTTGAAAATCAAGAGACCACACCAGAAATCATTTACCCAACTACTGCCAGAGGCGACCGCAATCGAAATAGTTTTTGTGACACACACATCGACTTAATTAATTGCATTTGTAGAGCGCTCTGCCTAGATGTTGTCACGGCTGTTGTATGACTTTATGCCAGAGCTTCGCACATCAGCCCTATTAAATTAGCGATAATCTCGGAATTTGCTCACAACGAATATATTATTTTTGCACTGGAGCCTGGAGCTAGGTAGCAGTAGTCCTGTTTACTCCTGTGCACATGTAGATAGTAATAATGGGAGTGGCTTATGAAGCAGGCAGCAGGCAGCAGTAAGGCAGCTTTTGGCAGTCCTCCAAGAGACTTAGGCGTGTACATAAATATTTATCAGCAACTAAATTTAGACGTTAAACTACACAGTAATGCATTTATAATATTTGTAAAATTTATATTGCACAAATTACAGTTTAGTCACAAATGAAATACGCACACAACTAGAGATTTTACATGCATATAAAAAATAGTAAAAAGTGCGAAAAAATTATTCTACGCTAAATTACACTCAGCGACATAGCGTGCTCTGAGGGACATGTTGCCGGCTGATAAATTATGGATGAAAAACGAATTTGTTAGAGTTGTTTCATGCTCGCACACACACACACATATAGATATATTCTTATAGTCGCCTGTGTGAGTTTATTTATGGGCGCATTGAAGTCGGTATATTGAAGAAGGAATAACTATGACAGTTACAGCGGGTGAGAACTGTTTGGTGTCTAGACGGCACAGATAATCCATAGCTCGCCTAGTTCATTTTGAATTTTTTCCGTTTGATTGTCTCTCGGCCTGGTGGAGCTCAGTCAGCCAGCCCTGATGGCTGAGCACTAATAAAACGCATTGCTTACGAGCAGCGTCAACTCGGTCAACTACATTTCGTATGGGCCATCAAAATGATTTAGTGTGAATATGGCTATGCAAAAGAAGTGAAGTATGGTAAAGTAATCAATATAAAAACTATTCTCTCACTATAAAGCAGAAAGTGAGACATCAATAACTTACAGCTAGAACTGAATTGCAGCAGTGTCGAAGGCATATCAAGAAATTTAGTTTATCTCACTTTGTGACATCGCTAAACTCATTAGAATTTAACACGGTCCGTGAATGTGAGCCGTTGCCCGTCAGCGCCTTCTTACCTCTGGCAACAATTTATCTCATTATATCTGTGTCTGATTGTTGATGTGATTAACGCCGCTGCCTTGAAGCCAGCTAGCGCAAGCGGGATGCTGCTGGACAGCTCTAAGCTCAGCTATGCGTTAATTAAATGTCAATTACGCTGCGGACTCCGAAGTGAGCGTAACGAGGCTTGTGACTCCCATTGAAACCAGACTTGGTTTGCCTCGAGGCCGCGCAGGGCTCTCGACTCGGCACGGCTCGGCCTGGCATTGGCTTAAATCTTGTTACTGTTTGACATTTAGTTTTTCGCTTTTATCGTGCTGCATTGGCATGCACAGTCCTGGCAGATCCTCTGCTGCAGTTAGCTTTGTAGCTCACTTCGCCCCCTGCCTCATCCCCATGCCCCGCATGCAATTTGTCTTTACACGCCCTTTTTGTGGCCTTTTTACGAGCCGCATCTCTGCTCTAGAGCTATGTCTGTGGCTGTCGGGCTGGAGGTCGTAAGATATGTTAGACGCCTTGTAAACTGCGTACTTTGTGCTCGAACTTTTATTTGACTCGAACTCTTCTTGAATTTCACAAAGTCAGCTAGCTGATTGCATGTTAAATTCAATCGGGTTTTACGATGCCCAGAAGCGGTTAAGTTTCAGACACTCGTACTCCGTGAGTAATGTTAAAGAGTTTATGATTGTGCAGCTGCTGGGCGCATTTGGCCAATGAATCTGCAGATAGGCAGTTCAGGTTAAGGCTTAGACTAAGACAAGATATGTGTTGGGGCTCTCATCTATGAGATATTTATATGTTTTTCGCTCACAGAAATTGCTCAAGCATAGATAACTAATTGGCAGCAATTATATATGTATATTGCCTAATAAATTGTTATATTTATTTCATATAATATTTATTTAAATATTAAAATACAGTTCTTGCAAACACTTTAGTCGGCCTGCATATATAATGAATTTGAAAGTGTTTTTCTTTCATTTGCATAGATATACATACATAAAAGGCTTTCCATTCATATGCGTTCGACATACCCTGTGCTCATGAAGCTATAATTGTCAACTAAACAATATATTGCAGTTTATAAATGATCTCTATATGCCTTTGCTTTTCTCGGTCTATCACAAGCTCAGCTCTATATACAGCATATCTGCTCGTCTGGCAGCTCTGCTTTCTGGTTTTTACTCTCAACTTTAGTTGCATAATGAATTTGTAACTGTGTATAATTTTCAAGTTGGTCACTTTTCATATGCAAATTGCTGAAAACTTTGTCTAACATGCTATGTAGTTTCATATGCCATACTAATTATAGCTCTTACATGCGCCACATCAAAGCTGACCAGCCGCATGGGCCACTTGGAATTAAATTAAATTTTAATATCACTTACGTCACTTAACAATTCAAATAAAAGAAAAATATTTAATTTTGTTGATAATATGTATAATAATATATATTAAATTGTATTTGATAATATTTCAATCTGAATTTTCTATCTAGTTTCTAATGCATTGCAGTTGAATGTCATAAGGTAAGCTTTAAGTAAGTATTAACAAAAACTGTGCATCAGGTGATTGAAGTGCTTTGCTCTCTACGAACACACAGAAAGTCATTAACAGAGAGACGAACTCATCTTGATGGCACATACAGTTTTCTATAAAATGTTGCATACCTTTGTGCGTCGCACATGTGACAAACTGTAATTGAATTCTCTCGTAAGCTGCCGGAATTCGATTGCATTTTAATGAACACAAACTTTCGATTCGGAATTTTAAATTGCTTTAGTGGTCGAACCGAAGTCAAAAAATGTTTACGAGAGAGCGGGGGGAGATAGCTGACATGACATAAATTTGTGTTTTGACTGCTATGACTTTCGAATATTGAATATGGTTTTCCAATCATTATGAGTCGGGGATCAGCAAGTAACTGGATTTTCTAAAGAATCGCTACGAATGCTCGCTGGCTTTAAGACAAGTGATCTTTTAGCTTATCTTAAAGCGTCAGACCTTGAACATATCTAACTAAAAGGCACTTGCGCAAAGTGCGGCTGTTCTTTGACATTTTGTTGACTGAAACCCTCGGGCACCTTTTATGACGCGTGTCATTTGGGAAGCTGGCAGCAAGGACACTTTAGCCTGTCAAAGATTATCAGCTTCACGCTAAGTTATTCCAATGCCCGTTCACCCTCGCTTCGCCCAGTGAGAGACCATTGGGCATGGCTGGGTTGGCCAATTTCTGAAACAAAGGCAGCGTTTATCAATTTGGTGTTTTCCTTTTCATTTGTGAGTTTTATCTTCGCTTACCATGCCAACCATCATTTTGTTTGTCTTAATAGTCAATTTTATTCGTTGTGCTTTGCTTTCCACTTGTTTTCTTCGCTTTGGCACTTTGGCCAACAATTTTTCGCATTCTCTCTTTTTTTGTTGCTTTGCCTTTAAAATATTTTCCATTTCCGTTTGATGCTATCTATTTCCAGCAATTATGCAGTGATATTTGTGGTGTCTAGAATCAATTTCAGGGTTGGCAACGTGAATTCAATTTTCCATTCAAAACGAGTGCATACTAATTTAAAGTCCATATTATTTGGCTGTTGGGATAAGAGCTACTTCTCATTACTTGTTCTTATTTTGTATGACTTTTAAGCTTATCAAGTGAGAGTAAACAATATTTTTTTTTTTTTTTTTAGTTTTGCTGGCAGTTGTTAAGGCCAAAATAACTGTTATATCTTTGTCAATGTAGCTCAAGCTTTGCAAAGAAAAAAACATACACATAAGTCGTGTATGTATGATTTATAATTTTAGTCGACTGACTGCAGTTGCTTCAGTTTGCCTTTCTGCATATATATTTATATTTTTATACGTTATAACGTTATACAGCTAGAAATCGAGAACATGAACATTTCTTTTTATAGGGATAAATAGATAAAGATGAAATGATATAGGTATACTGAGAAGGCACAATACTCACAATAAATGATGGAGCCAGAGTATATCCCAGTCGATCATTGTTTCTGCTTGCTGTGCTTAAAAATGTTTTCAATCTCGACTATTTTTGATTGCATTTCCCCAGAAGAAACTGCGACCAGCTGCTGGAAACTGCTTTAAGTAGACGACCACACCCACACACACACAGGTGAGAGAGAGGGGGAGAGAGAGAGAGGGGAGAGAGAGAGAGAGAGACGCCTAGCTGCTTAAGGAATCTCTTTGAGATCAAGCTATGTGCAAGAGCTCATGTGATTGTGCCTCAGACGACTTCAGTTCCGAGTTTTTCAAAGTCAACTAACCTTTGCGAAATTGCAATTGCAAATGCAATGCAAGACGCAAATACTTGAGCAGCAGGCAATATATGCACGCATGAAGCAGTTGCCAAGACGAAACATATTTCCACAAAGCATTTTTTATATCGTCCTATAACATAGTTAATAACAAAATATGTTTCTCCAATTTTAGGCTCATCCTACGATACGCAGACGTATTTGTGCCTTAAACACAGTAGCGTGCAACAGTTTTCGGCATATTGGCATGAGCTGCCAAAGGAACTGCAATTGTCCATCAATTCCTGGCGCTGTTCCTGTTGGGTAATTCATATATTAATATATTAATATATAAATATATTATCTTTGAGGTAATGCCTACCAAGGGCAGAGCTAGCGAGAGCGGCAAAGTGAATCTATAACTTATTTTTTTCTTTGTTGGCGCAGTCATCTTGGGATTTCTTTTCAAAATGGTTATGATAGGTGTTGTACTTAACACTATGTTTCTACTATCAGCTCCAAAGTCCAACATCCGCGTACAGATGACCAACACGACTAGCAGATGAGCAAACGTTTGCATTCTGAATAATGCAATTGCCATTTTTTAACTGACTGCAATTTGCCTTTATTGCGGCTTTTATGCGGAGATCGAGCTGAGCACTATTAGAGATATTCTATCACATTAGAGATATGAATGCTAAGGTATTTTAATATTTATTTAAGGCTTATGGTAAACGGCAAGTACTAAACTAAGCAGTTGACAAATGTTTTTATTTTCATCAAGCATTACACATGGCGTATCCCAACACAGAAACATAAACTTTTCTTAACTGTTATTTTATCTTCCCGTATTAAGCACTGAACACCCAACGCATTGTTAATAAATATAACAACTTTATAGAGTATCTAGAGCCGCATACAATTCATATAAAAACTGTCTCAAGTATGCGCCACATTTTCGTTTTCTCCAATTCCAATGGAAACAGTGTTAAAAATGGGCAATGAATCTGTCATTTAATGTCTGAGTGACATGCCAATAAGTCATTTCATTAATCGCACAATATTACTCATACACAAGCACTCAGAGCCACGCACAGACACAATAACTCACACACACATAAATACGCTTAAGCGCCGAGGGCGTCAAGCAACAAGCGTAAATCACAACCCTTAGGCTGGGCTCATTATCCCCTGGGGAGCACTTGGGACTCATCAGGCGATCGATTTCAGTGTGCGGGTGGCATCCACACAGATATCTCATGCAGTAATAAATAAGCTGTAGAATTTAATGAAATATATGAGGAATAAATATCAATATGAATATGAATAAATATAAAGATTTTATATATACAGGATTGCAATTATCCACATGACATTTCGTGCTAAACATCAAGTTAACTCTCTATAATCCCATGTCAATCGTTGTGTAATTTAATTCATGCTGTGTGGCTCTCAATTCCGCTGCAAAAAGCCGACAAACACTTTTATTTACAGGCGTACATACATATATACAGATGTTCGATTCGAATTCGTTGCGCTGCTGTAAAGAGTTTTAAGCGTGGCGCTGCAGTCATAATGCAGCTTGACATTATCGCCATTCTGGGCAAAGGTAGCCGGACATGGATACGCATAATTTATGCATCGTTTTTCAATGGGGGTTAATGTGCCACATTTGCAGTTTGCGCAGCGCATACGTCACACAGGGCGTATACGTATTCAATTCGTTGGAAAAACAACTTAATCGAGGCATACGCCTGCAACTGCAACTACTACTGTATCGGCTATTATTTATTTACGAGTGCTGAAATTAACTTTTGCTGGATGATGACTGCACGGTTTTGCTGGAAATATAGTCACATATTTAAATAAAAAATTAAAAGATATTCCAAAAAATCTCAAAAAAAAAGCAGCATGAAATTCCCGTAGTTCTCTGCTGATTTACGTTTACAGCAGTTTTAATTGATTTAAATTGCTGACTAGATCCATTGATTACTCAATTTGATAGAGAAAGCCCGTAATTGTCTTTCTGGCTATCTTTTCGGACCATATTGTGCTGCTTGGTGTCCAATGAGGCGCTGGCTTCACGCCTGATAAACTGCACACAAATAACCCGATGTTGGTTGCATGAAAGAAATGAGAGAAAAAAAGCACAAAAAAGTGACAAACTTTCGCCCCATCCGGCTGTCGGCTCGTCCTGCCATTTATCAGCCTGCGAGTTGCTGAACAAGTGTTTTGCCGTTGAGCGCAATTTGGCGTGAAATAAAAGTTTCGCCCCACTTTTATGTTGGGGCTATTATGAATGCAATTCTTTATGGCTGACTTTTGTCGTTCGGTCGCCAGCTTATCCCCTGGCCATAAAACGCCAGCTAGTACTTTTTTCAAACAAGTGTTTTAACCTCAACTAAAATATAAATTATATAGTTTTTTTCACCCGCTTTCCAGATCATAAACTGAAAATATGGGCTAACTGAATTGATATATATTCGCATTTCAGAGCAGCTTATTTATTTAATTCTTCATACACTCATTCTTATATTATTTACTGTATGATTAATGAAGCTATTTGATTGTGACTGTTGTAAATAGGAAATTTACAGACTATAGCAGATTAAACGAGGTGACGTGTCAAAGCAAAACTTTAATTTACTTTATTCAATTGACTGTATAATAAAATGTAAATAACAAACAACAACAAAGAAAAGAAAATTGTTCGTTTTTTCATGCTTTACATTCAGTTTGCAATATCCTAGCAAAACAAACAAGAATTTAATTTGAGTTGCTCCATGATTGAAATATCATTAAATTTGATTTTGTGTGTCAGTTATTTTAACACATATGAATACTTTGATATATGTCGGGGCAATGTCAATTTCATTGCCTTCCATTCCATTTTAATAATGTTTCAATTGCATTAAAAAGAACTGCTGTTTTAGCAAAGTATTTTTAACCTTTAACAAAGTAAGAGCCAGCCGTCTCGCTCTCACTCAGCATGACACAGCTTAACATCTAGCAATAGTTCTCCTTATCTCTTTCTCTCCTGCACTGAGAGTGAGAGCTTCAGTGTCCGAAGCGTGTAGCTAAGACTCACTCGGATAATATTTTAACAACTGTATAAAAAGCTCTCAGCCAATAACAACAGAAATTAACTAAAGTAGTATATGTAAACACCAAAAATGAGAATGAAAGGCAACAAAAAAGAAGACATTGCTATTCATTATACACACTTAAATATATCAATTTATGATCAAATATTCATTTTGTTTATAAACTTTATTTAATTTTGGATTTTATTTTACTTGAAGAATACTAAAGTATATGTAAATTAAAAAAAAAAAAAAAACAACAGATTTGACGAAAAAAACTAGCATCAGTGAATGCATTTGGAAATCAGAATACTCTATTGTAGTTTATAAATTAATCCAATGTTTTAATACAAATTAATATTTGTAGATTGTACATTTTCTTCTATCGTGTTATCTTCAAAGTTATCTCGGTAAAAAACATCTCATCATCGTCGTCAACCTTCGCCCCTGTATAAATATTTGGAATTTCTAACAGCAATATTATACCTGAACTTTACCTTAAATATAATGAATAACGAGCTTACATTCTATTAAGTCTTCTCGACATCCATTCAAATAGTTTGCTTATGGCGCATACTCTAGTCGAAGATATTCCGTTTAAAAGTTTTGAGCACTCTCTATTGGAATTTGATAATAAGTTGCCAGTGGAGCACAGTTTGGCATGCGTAACTTGTGGCTGCTTGGTTACTTTGCATTTTGTGGCACGTCTGCCATAGCTGTCGAATTTTCGCAACGTCGTGCGGCTCCGGTCTAAGCTCGAGCACAATCAGACCCACTCGCTCGGCAAGTTTTCCGGAACATAACAAGAGAAATGTTGTACTTGTCAGCTGTTGCTGCTGCCACATTTGCGTGTTAATGCGGCAGCATTGACGAAAAAAAAATTAATAACTCGACTCTTTCACTTTTTGCCAAGGCATGTTGCATAAATAAATTTACCACACAGCCATGAAGTATGCTAAGCTCAATGAGGGGAGGCCGAGGGCTGCTTAGGCTGACATGCAAAACTTATTGTTCTACCCCATGGACATGGGGCATGGCACGGCTGCTGAGAATTGTCGCATAAGAACTTGAATGCAGCTCGTTATTGTTTGTTGTTATTGTTGTTATTATTGTTGTTTGCCATGTACAAACTTTGCTGAATTTATAACGAGTTTCTGTAGTTTTTACTGCATAAATTATAGTTATTAATTTAGAACATTTGCCAGCAGCGCGGGCACAATTGAAATATAAGCATGTTGACCCCCCATGAAGTGCTGCCCCTGCTGCAGCTCCTGCTGTTGCAATTACGTTGCATATTTCAGAATTTAGATGTTCATTTCACAGTTTCCTTATTATTCATTTCCTGGTCATGCTGCTGCTCCTGCTGCTGCTGCTGCTGCTGCTGCTCCTGCTGTCTTGATTAGCATTGACCACTTTCTTCGCCCGCTCTGTCAATTTGCAGCGAGCTTCACGCTTCCGTTTCCTCTTTCATCTGGCTATGAAACTTCATTGGCAAACCATTTCCTTTCAATAAATTACTTTGTCTGCAATGACAGCAAAGCCGATTATATTGACTACCTTGCACCAGAAAGTGTTGATAAAATGTAAATTCGTAAATTACTTTTGCCTGAAAGCTTAACTTTTTCAATTAACTATATTTGACAAGCAGCACATTTCAAATTTCAATATTTAAGCATATGTATATGTATATACAACTAAATATACCTAGTTGGCCAATTTGAATATACAAACTCTGGACTAAGTTCTGGAATCGTTCAGTGTAGCCAGTTCGGTTATTTATTCATGTGGCTCCAAAACTTTCGCCGCTGCCATCTCACACATGTCTCAGTTTAATCCACTATTATTGCAGCTGTGTGAGTGGGGTCCTTAGTTATTATGCAGATTGTGTTGACACACTGAGACTGTTGTGCAGAGTGCTTGTGTTGTGTTGAAGTCTGAGGTGTAAATATTTCATGGAATGTCAGCTCAATTCTTGCTGTTGGCCACAGAATAGATAAAAAAGTTCCTTTAAAAAAAATAAAAATGTAAAAATTTAACTTTTCCTGTACACAAATCAAGTTTGGATTAGCTAGTCTAGCACGTACCTCGACTGTTGATTTAACACGTTTCGAACGATGCAAAAGGTCGAGCGTAGGTTCTCATGATAAATTGATATCTCTTTGGGGTCGCAATCAAAGTTCGAGCCGAGTCAAAGTTAAATTTTAGCTTTTTCGGCAGGCGGCTTCAAATTCAGCTTAAGCAAAGTTTGTATGCTAATAATTGGAATTTAATTTGAGCAATGCGCATTTCAGGCTTTGATATTAGAAATCAGCCACACAGCAAATGGATAGCAAATAGACTATCTTATTCATTTCACAGAATCACGTCATAATATTATGCATATGCATATATGATATATACGTATACTGTACTATATTCCACATATCTCCGAGCATGATCAATCTGTCATACAATTTGCTAGAGTCATGTAACATTCTATTCAACATCAACACGCGGTGCCGCCTTGCTGTGAGCACATGCATATATTTGTATAT